GATCACATTGAGATATTTATCAATAAATGGGCGCAGCTTGAGACCATACTCATAAGTGAAATAAATCAATCTCGCATGTGTGAATACTGAATAGTTTCCCTAATGTAAGTAATGATTCAAATATATAAAAATATGTGGTAATCATGATTCCCCATTAGGTGGCCTTGGAGCCTTATAAAGTTTTCACTCATTAATTAGAAAGGCTTTATTCTGGGCTTCTTGATTTGAAAATATTTGAAGCTAGAGTATATGAAGTTTTATCCAAATATATCAAGGAAAAAGACACTATGGTAACTACTATTAAGTCAGGTTATATGGTGGTGAAGTACTAGGTTGTTGAAACAGTCATGCTGTGACCTCTATTGTTATATTGTTATGTCCTGTTTTATCTCATTCTCGCCCTTATTGTTTTAAAAAAATTATTAATCATTTCTTATGTTTGTCTTAATTAAAGAAAAAATTCAAAAAATTAGGATATATAAATAGTAACTCTTTTTGATTTCCTATTAACTTGTTTTGAAGTCCTGTAGTACTCCCACGATCTTGTTTTGACTGATTAGACTCTGTTCCATTCTATATGGTAGTATCAAGTTTGAAGACATAGGCAACTACTTTGAAGACAATAAGATTCACTAAGATACCCATTCTGGTTTGACTATTGTCTTCTTTGGAAGTCCTGTAATGTTTACAATGCCTAAGTTTTATTGGTCTTGTTCTCTACTGTTTTGTCCAACTTTATAATATCTAATGAGACAGACAATTCTTTTTAAGGAAACAAGGGACAACGTTGATAACCATTGTTGATAAACTTGTACTCTGTTCTACACCATGTGCTATGTCTATCCTTGGTGTTGACTGACAGCTTTGTTTTGCCATATTTGACTGTATTCTTCCCCCCCCCCCAAAAAAAAAGTAATAAGCACTAAGGAGTAATGAAATCCAAAGTGCGTGAATTTTGTTGTAAAAAAGAGAGGGAAAAAAAAAAAGAAAAAGAGCTCTAACGGATATAACAGCAAGTGTGTTTAGGGGTGTTAAATAGCTGACTGTATCAATGTTTTTGGATCATTGAACACAGCTGTTTGCAGTCTACCTGTTTGAATGTCCACCTTGTATTCTTTGATACTGTGATTTGAGGAACTATTTTCAAGATGATAATATGTAATATACTAACAGGTGATTTCTTACTGTTACGTTTTTTTTTGTTTGTTTGTTTTGTTTTTTTTGTTTTGTTTTGGTTTTTTTTGTAGTTCTGTATTACGTGTACCCTTACACCGCTTTGGTTTGTTTTGTGTTTTTCTCTTTTTCCTCTTAAATTAAAAAAAAAAAAAAATCATGAACTTGAAGGCGTGTGGTGGTTTTCTTTTTCAGCCATGGGTGCAAGTGTATAGGTAAAGGGAGTTGAATTTAACTAGAGTTGATATTATACCAAACAAAATTTTTGAGCAAGTGGTGATTATAATGGTTGACTGTGGGTCATGTCAGTCTTAACTTGGATTAAAGTGGCATCAAAATGATTAGGAATGTCTCAAATAAAGAACAGTGAATCTAGTTGATGCCTGATTGGCGTGTATATGATGTGAGGACATTTGTTTTGAGAGTTTGAGAATTAGGTACATAGTAAATGAAAAGAAGTAGTTACTAGAAAAAAAATAGAAGATATATCCATGAAGAGTAGCTTGTGAATATTTACATGATTTGATTTACATGAGGGATCAAAGCTAGGGCTTCCTGCACGCTGAGCGCACACTCTGCCACTAAGCTGTGCCCCAATCCTATAATTATGTATTTAATTATCATGTAAGTGTTGTCATTAAAAAGACTATTGATAATTATATTGGCAATAAAAGTACATTTAAAAGATGGAAGTAAGGAAAAAGTATATCTTGAGAGGAAAGGAAGTGACAGATACTGTAACAGAACTAAGCTTTTAAGGAAGTCAGAAAAATCTACACAGCAGAAAAAGTGCAGCTTTTTTTAAAAGGAAAATGTGAAAGTAAATACTAGAAGAAAGAGATTAAATTTGAAAATGGTTGCTTCTAGGGTGGTAGGAATGGAAACAGGGTGGAGGGTGGGCCTAAGAATGATACATTTTAATGTTAACATTTTTAAAGGAAACTTTATGTTTGAATTATATATGTATTTTTAAACATTATGAAAAGAACTAGTATTTCTTATGTGTTACTGTTATTAAACAGTCTGGAAAAACTTTGTGATTGAGTTAGTATTTGAGAATAAAGCTAACACCAGTTTGGTTGGAAAGAAGAGTATTTAAGCGAGGATTGAAAACACGAGGGAGAAGAACAGAATGAAAAATAGAAAGAATTCTTTGGATAACTGAGTAAACCAGTTGACTAGAAAAGAGAATAGCAGAAATTACAGTTTGTATGTTGGATTTGACTTACATAAACACTTGAAGGCCCGGAATTGGGCAGAAATTAGTTTGTTTTGGGGGTTTTTATGGTACCAGGAACTCAGAACTTCACAGTTTCCAGGCAGATGCTGTGCTGCTGAGCTATATCCCCTACCCAAGAAATTAGTTCTTGATCTAAGAAATAATGATCAAATTAGTATTCTGGAGAGTGTATTCTGAGAATGTCAAGTTACAGGAAAGCAGCTCTGTGTCTTACTTTGACAGGGTGGTGAATGGTGGCGGGAGGGCAGGATGGTGGCGGAAGGATCGATGGGAGAAATGCTGAGAAGGAGCTGGTCTCAACTAAGCCAGCTTGAGTGTGTGAATCATTAGACTGAAAAGTTAATCCTTTCATTTTGAGCCAGTTTGGAAGGGTTGCTCTATCATTTAACAATTTAATTTTAAGAATGAGACAGTGAAGGGTATTCAGTATTTCACTGCAGGAGGATTGTTGAGACAGTCTTGACATAGAAGAGGTAGTGGAGATGTTTGTGGAAATAGGGAACTTGAGCTCAGTAGTGAGATATCACAGACAGTCAGCCAGACAAAGTTTACTGAATTTATGGTAGTTTTAAGCCATAAATGTAAATCCATTCCTCAAGAAAAACAGCCCATTGAGAGATTTAAAAAATGCAGAGTATACAGAAAAATTGCTTTAGAAGTACAGTTGATCCTTTGTTTCTGTGAGTTCTGCATTCCCAAATTCAACCACAGAGCAAAACTATTTGAAGAGGTTCTAGAGATGCAGATGTTAATGGTAACATATTTGCCTAGCATGGGCAAGGCCTTTGGGTTCAATACTCAGCCTGCAAAAATTAAATTAAATTAAAGAAGAGAAGAGGCGAAGACAAGGGAGGGAGTAGAGAGGAGAGGAAGGAGGACAGAGAAAGAAATATTTGGGGGGAAATTGCATTTGTACTACATATACACAGACTTTTTAATCATTACTCCCTAAATAATATGTATCATTAGCTGCTTATAATGTTTAAATTTGCAGTAGGTATTATAAGCAACCTAGAGATTATTTAAGGTAAATGAGAAGATATGCATAAGCTATATGTAAATACTGTACCATTTTATATAAGGGATTGGTTATTTTGCCATTTGTGAGGGGTCCTAGAAGCAATCACCCATAATAACTTTAGTTAGCTATTTAGTAACGAAAAAAAATAAAAGCAGGAAAGAAAATTTTCAAGTAGACTGTCTTATTGACAATCTGAGAAATTGAAATATCTGCAGAGAAACATAACAGAAAGTTATTTCAACTTAGAAAGTTGGGTGTGGTGACACACACTTGAAATCCTGGCAATCAGGAGATTGAGGCAAGAGGGTCACTTTGAGTGCAGGACCAAACTGGGCTTCCTAGTTCAAGGCCGCTAGACATATGAGACGATTTCAAAAATTTTTTTCAACTGAGAAGTTTTAAAGCTTATTTAGTATGAAAGAAGACTGTGGATGACTTTGAAGGTTGAGGAGGGAGAAAAAAGCAAAATAGAGTATGTGACAGATTATGTTTTCAAATGCTTTTCATTCGGGGGAAAAATATTAAGAAACTAATAGCTTTGAAAGACGAGCTAAGCAATTTTTTTTCCCTTTTTTAAGTGTAACAAACTGTTGCATGTCTGAAGATATTTGAAATTAGAGAGGAATAATGCTGTTGAGCAGCATGACAGAAACTAAGTGAAAGGGGCTTATTTGTGGGAGCAAGAAGATCGATTGAAGAAAAAAAAAGCCATGAAAAGTAAAAGTTGTCTGGCAGGAAAAGAAAACAAGAAAAATTCAAGATAAATATTTAAATTTGTATTAGGGAAAGCAGATAACTAAATGGTTTCCACTGAGAAAAGAGCAATGTAGATAATATCCATCTTAGAAAAGAACAAGATTTTGGTAGAGATTTCAAGAGTGGACTTAGCAGCTACTGCTGCATATAAGAGAGACTCATAAATGAATGCTTGTGAAAGTAAGCGTCCGTTATTCTCCCAGTCCGTGGGTTGGTTGGTGATTATTCTGACTGTGGTTGTGCTCCCTCATGCAGCTGCAGTGAGCTCCACACTGGGGAAGCTGCTGGGATGCTCTTTGCTGGGTTCTTCCCCATATTGGAGGTGAGCTGTCTGTGGCCTCATATTAAGATGGCCCCAAGAGTGGAGGGTGGTGATCCTCTGTGTGGTGTCTCATCCTCATGCTTGTTCTTATGCTAGCAGGATTCTGAGAGATAGAGAAAGCAAAGCATGTTGTTGAAGTTCAGGCTCAGAGTTAAGCAAAGCTGTCAGTGCCATAGTCTATAGGTCTAAGCAAATTTCAAGGCCAACCTGTATTCTCAGGGTTGGGAAACTGAACCCACCCTGTAGTCAAGCAGGGGATGTAGAGAAAGAGAGCTGGGAACCTGGATAATTTTTTAAAATCAGTCTACCACTGGCAAAGGCTACAAATGATTATCTTCTGTGTGTTGAAGGGTTTGATATAGTCACTAAAATAATTGTTCTGCATTTTGTGATAGATACATACATGATACAAATTTTGAACTATTTATGCACTGAATTTTGATGTTTTCATTGTTAGTATGTTCTCATCCCCTTCCCCTCTTTTTAAGGTTGGATAATACATTGGAGGAAATTATATTTAAGCTGGTTCCTGGACTGCGAGAACGTAAGTTGCTGTTTAGGTTTTTACAGACTTACAGTTTTATGAAATCAACATTTTGATCAAAGTTTTCATGACTGTTTTTACGTTTTTTGTATTCCTTTTTTCTTTTAAATTAGAAGAACTTGAGCGTGAATCTGAGTTTTGGAAGAAAAATAAGCCTCAAGAAAATGGACAAGGTAACTTTATGCCTGTATCTAATAGCATGTCTCAAATTGGTTAACTTTTTGGTCAGCTCTTTCTAAAGTCAAAACTTTTGTGCTTTAGTAAATTTAAATTAAATTAAAATTTCTCTTGAACAAAATTCAAATACTCATTGTTTCTCTTCATGAGATTTTATCTACTTCTATACAAATCTGGTATCCAGTTGAGGTCAGATGGATAGAGAGGAAATTGGGCTTTGGGATAAGAAAGAAAAGAGAGATAAAAGAGAAAACTAAGTAGATGATTTTAGCAATAATTTCTTAATAGTAGAAATCTAAAAAAGAAATAGCTTACAGCTAAACAACAAGGGTTCTAGAAGTTTTAAAATTGATTTTATAAGTTCATTTTAATAGGACAGGGAACTGAGATGTGACTGAGAGCCATAAGGAATTCTATATGCTCTAATACTCTGGAATGAAATTTTCATAGGTGAAGCTTAGATGACACAAACTTACACATCCTGAGACTTTAAAAAATATCTCAGTGAACTTACTGGAATTTTTCTCATCACCTAGGTCAGGTGTCCAGATCTCCTCTGTTGGCCCTAGGACACTGACTATTGGTGATTTTTAATAATGTTGGCAAAAACATAACTGGTCAAAAAAAGGCCTGTTAATATATATTACTAATACAAAGAGTTTCCTGAGATGATAAACAAGTAGAATTTATTTCTCATTTTTTTAATAATGAAATTTCATTCAAGATATCCTAAATACCATTCAAATCTTAATAGTGTGTATTTGCCGATTAAACATCATGCTGCCTTTTTTTTTTCATCCATAGAACAGGGACACAGAGATCCTGGTTTTCTCCTTCAGTTTGTACAGAACTGCTTTCCTAAGCAGGGCGTGCTGCACATAGTTTTGATGACTGAAGTAGGGTAGCAAGGCACTGCTTTTAATACATAACAACTAAAGGGGCAAAAAAGTTAAAATTACTTAGCTAAAGCCTTGTTGTATTTAAACGTACATTGAAATTAGATGATAGTGCTATACAAAAATATAGCTAACGTAAGGTTAATTAAATGTTCCAGTTTTTCTTGCTTGCTTGAGGACAGGAACACAGGAAATTGTCATCAGAAATTGTATAGTAGGTTTAGTCTGTAACTTTGTATCAAGTTAACTTCTCAAGGGCTGTATCCTGCTTTGTAAGTTTTAGCTCCCTCATCCCATTTCTCCCTTTTAACAATATTTATGATAAATGTAATCTTCAGGTCAATAATCTGAATCTTCCATTGGAGCTGCTAGTTTGGCTCATAAAAGGCAGTTCCTGGCTACCTAGTTTCTTCGTAAATATGAAGAAGAAAGCAAGCCCCCCTCTAGATTCCCCTATAACATTTTTAGTGTAGTCATAAAGAGAAGCTAACTGATTATTGGGGAAGGGGTTTACAAAGTAATACTTAGTTAACAATTATTTCACATTTTAGAGACATTTCATCTAGAAATCCTCCTTGAATCTGCTTCATCCCCAGAGTTATATGCCTCGTGTATATGTGCCCCCAGAGTTCACTTTACCTCTCACATCATGTGTTTGTCTATTTATTTACTTTCTGTTATATGTTAGGGATGATAACCTTCTACTTTCATTAATGGTACTTCAGGCCTAACACAGTATATGTCCAATACATTATCAAAGACATGGAATAAATGAGTGCATCAGCAAATGCAGTTGTGTTATTTGTATGCCACAGATTTAAGTCTGCTTTTGGTTTTGATGGGTAGTGTTTTAATAAACTTGAATTATAACTGACTTTTTAAAAAATTATACAGATACTTCGAAAGTGGACAAGCCTAAAGCAGATGAAGAAGGTGATGAAAATCAGGATGATAAAGACTATCATAGAAGTGACCCACAAATTGCTATCTGTCTAGATTGTTTACGAAATAATGGACAATCAGGAGACAATGTAGTCAAGGTGAGTGACAAGAATAGTTGTATTTTTAATGATCATTTTATAGTAAATACTTTTAAATTTGTTGATGAATTTTTTAATGCTTTATCTGTTTATTCCTAAAGTTTTTGTTAACATAATCCAGTAGAAAGTAGTTTTTTGACAGTCTTACAGATGGTTAAGCAATTGCTTATTCTAGGCAGGCTTTTCACCCCCAATCATCTTGTGCCAGTGACACCATCTAGTGGCTAATGCCGAGAATCACACCTCTTTTTCTCGTCAACCTTTCTACTTTGTTGAGAGTTCACAGGCATTGTTTATCTCTTATATGTGACAGCCAACTCAGGTTCAGGTACATAATTCCATGTTAAGCAAGGTTTTATTCATTGGCTTTTAATTTATCTCTTTATTTTATATTTCTACTTGTAATTCAATAAGCTTTCAATATCATGGCTAATATAGTTTATGAATAATACTGGTTTTAAAATAAACCAGTTCCTATAAAGTGAATGAACTTTTAAAGTCATCAAAGGCTCTGCATTACTTCCTGTAGAATTTCCATGTCTAATCCTGTTTCTTCTATGTCTACTGATTGCTTCATTCTTAAAAGATCTTTAGAACACTCTGTTTTTTATTGATATTTTGGGGGGAGGAATTTAAATGATATTACTTAAATAATGTTTCCTGATTTTTATTGCCAAAATTCTCATTATCAATGTTCACTACTTTAGATCTTAAATAGATATGTGTCACATTAACATACTTTGAGAATGTCTTCCTTTTTGTAGTTTATGTTTTTATTCATTATTGTCTATTTTCTTTTGCTTCCTCTGTAAATCTATAAATTGTCTTTGGTTTTTTGGGGGGTACCAGGTATTGAACTTACAACTTCATACTTGTCAGGCAGGCGTTTGTGTCACTGAGCTAAATCCCTCGCCCCTGTAAATGGTATGTGCAGTGGCATTTTCTTTCTAGGATACAAAATAATTTTTAATTGAAATTAAGCTTTCTCTGGATCTTAGGATAAAAAATATATATGAGCATGGTATTTCAGTGAGTATCTGTGCAAGTATTAGTGATGAGATAAGTAGAAAGAAAGAAACCAAGGAACTTGGTTAGGCTTTTCCACATACAATCACACACTTACAATGTAGTGAAATAATTGATTCCGTTAAGGGGTTTGGCTTACTGAGGCATCTTTAAGAAATGACCGCTGTGTCTGTTTATCCTTCTAGCCTTCTCTGTTGTTTTTCATGTTCCTGTGCAGCATCTTTCCCATTTTATGTTTTCGTCAGTTTTTATAACTTTCTCTCTTCTTGCCATCCACCACTGTAATTGCTTTTGGGGGGAGTTCTTCATAGAGATTGTGATCATCCTTTAGCTTTCTCCAGTTTGCTACCTGGTGGCAAAAGTTGAGTCAATTAAAAGGCCAAATATTTTCATAAGCAAATATGAAATCTGTTCCTCTGCATGATTTCTATTGTAAAAATTAAAATACTAAATTTTAGAAGTTCATCTTAAAAATTAACTGCCCCTGCTTTGGACTCTGACACTGTTGTTCCAGTTGGCTTTTTATCTGCTTGCTCTTTCCTTTAAAGACTCTTCTTTGTGTACCTCAGTTTATGAATTTAATTCTTGCTACAAACCGAATTGGACAAAAACCAAATCAAATTCAGTTTTTAGGTTTAATGTTGACCTTATGGGGAAACTTGATTCTGCTCTCATCCAATTCTGTTGGCAACCAGAATCATGGAAAAAATTAAATTCGTGAACCGAGGTACTACTTCTGCATTCTCAAGACAACTTTTTTTGGCTTAGAATGACTTTTGTACTATCCTGATTTTCATCTTCTCTCCCAGACCATTCCTACTTTGTCTCTATTAACTTAGCTTCTGATCTACTTGATACAGTATGTCCTAATGCTTTCTCCTATTCATTTTAGGAAATCTCTTTTTGGGGGGGACCCCCTTATCACTCTGCCATTTCTCCTAAGTTGAAGTATTCTGTCTCTACTTTTAAATACCCGTTGAAAATTTAACAACTATGTGTAAGGCAGATTCATATTCTACCCGGTTTAACTACAAATATTAATTTTCAGTTTTGACTACCATCCCTGAACCAGCTTGACTACCATCTTTGAACCATGCGAAAGTTCAAAACCTTGAAGTCATCCTTGACTTTCATTCTTTTACTTCCACCAGGCACTGATTCACAGTTTAGTGTTGATTATCCTTATGTCTAACTCTTTGGAAGTCATTTTTTAAGTGGTTTTTATACCCTTAACTTTTTGTTACTTGTGGCCATTTGTATAAGTATGGACAAGGCAGAGGATGAGGGTATAGATTATGACCAGTCACATAGTCAAATGGTAAATATTTTTGTCTCTGTAGGCCACATTTTTTCAATTGCAACTTTACAGTTTATTCACTATAGCCATACAACACCCATAAACAATGGTGAATGAATGATGTAGTTATGTTCCAGTAAAACTTTACTTGGGAAAATTATTAATCAGCCAGATCTGACCTGGGGGCATAGCCAAGATTTGCCAGATTTTTGCCTGCAGAATCAAATCTAAACAACTAGTCCTTTTCTTGGTAAGTTTTCCATTAAGCCCTCATTAAACTCCTATTCATCTGTGAATCCTCCTCTTGACAATGATTATTGTTTTATGTATAAGTTATACTTCATATCACTTATCTGACAATGGGTTGGTACCTATAATACATAAAGGCTTGTGCTGTACATATGTAAAGGACTTTAAAACTTTAAATCCATTTCTTTTTGGCATGTCCTTCACTTACCTTCTCACCATCCTATCCTTCTCTCCAGACCCAAGCAGAGATCCTTGTTCTTTGTGTTGTTTTTTCCAATTCAATGAATCTCTCTTCTGAAATTCTGTGGAACTTATCACTCAGGGTTCAGTTTATCTATTAAACATGTTCTTATGAAAGCTTGTCCCTGATACTGTCTTTTCTTTTTATGATAGGTATTTTTTCCTCAAAACTATATTATAAACCACTTAGAAGAAGAGACACTTGTCTGTGTTGCTTGGTAGGTTTCTCAGCCATCTCTTTCCTCTGGAGTGGCATATGTTTCTTACTGTTCTGGTGGGAGAGTCACATAGTTTAAGTAGTATACCTCTCTGTTCTTATGATAGCCAAAGTCAAGAATAGGATGTCGGTAAAATGAGTAAAATTACCCCCCAAAGTTTGCTTCTCAGTTAAAGCACAGCAGAAACCAAACAAAACCTGGCAATGTCCAAGAATCACGTTTTTCAGAGATATAATATTTAACTAGCTGTTTTCAAAACCTGTGAAGCATTTGATCAGTAAGATGATTCTTATGAAAACTAGAGCTTTGTGATCCTCTATTTTATTCTACCCCCCATTTTCCAGCTCTGTGGCAGCCTTGAAAAAATTAACAGTCTGCTTTCATATTGCAATCTTCAAGGCATTGAAAAGGTAGAAAAGAGATAAAAATCTTTCAAAGCCTCTTTGCCAAAGAATTGTTACTATTTGACCTGTTTGGTTGTTCCCTGAAAGATTCCACTTAGCAGACTGTCCACCATATAACTGATTTGACTTGGGAGCCTGTCCAGTAGAAAAAAAAGATTTATCTGTGGTTGGAAAGAAGAGGTATTTTTCAAAACAATTATAGGAAAATGTTTTAGCTTCAAGACTGTCTGAGGTATGGATAACATTTGAGGCAAATAGTAGAATAGCCAAAAAGCTTAAAAAACTGGTGACTGAGATGTCCATAGAAGCTTTACAAAGTGTTTACAGCCTCCTAAGAATCTAGAAGGATAAGTGAACACATAGAATAGCACATATGCTCAAGAAAGATGTGAGACTCCCCAGGCTTTCACTTTGAAGCTGACCTTGAAGCAGTGCACAGGAAGACCATAAAGAGCAGTCACCAGCATGTTTAAGTGTTAGAGGTGTGCTTCAAATATAGCTTCGTTGCATATATACCGAGAGACTCACTGGCTCTAAGCATATACAGAAATCTCTATGAATAATTAGCTAAGCTCTAGGTAAAAACTTGGGTGACTGCATATGTTAGAGACTATAGAAGTCATTAGAAGTATCATTAAACAAATAAACAACAACAAAACTACAGCAACCAGGAGATGGAGGAATCTAATTTCCAGCATTGCCACATTATTGGTAAATATCTAGTTTGCAACAAAATATTTGAGACATATTAATAAAATAAATTATGGCCCATACGCAGGGAAAGAAGCAACCAATAGAAACTGTCTCTGAGGACATTCAGACAATTCACTTAACCAGACATTATTTTAAGTCACCTATATATACAGAACTATAACTGTCTAAGCACTAAGAATTATTTTATAGAATCTAGAATATTAATAAAAAATAGAAATTGTTTTTAAAATATTCTGGAGTTGAAAACTACAGTGACAAAAATATCATACCTAAAACTCATCAACAGGTTTGAACCAAAGAGGAAGTACCTCAGATTTAGTTTGAGATTATCCAGTCTGAGGAACAAAAAGAAAAACAGAATGAAGAAAAATGAGCACGTCCTCAAGAGACTTGTAGAGCATTATCAAACTTATCAGCATAAACAGAATGGAAATTCCAAAACAGGGGAGAATGGAACAGAAAGTACATTTGAAAAAATAATGACCAAAAACTAATTTTGATTAAAAAACATTTAAATATCTAAGAAGCTTAACTTCTTATATATCCATGAAAAATCTGCGTTCAAGATGAAGGAGAAATTAAGACAGTCCCAGACAAATACAAAGTGAGGAACTGTCACTAGAAGGTCTCTCTAGAAAATATTGAGATGCTAAAGTCTAAATAAACGAAAGGGCACTAAAGCATAAGTAAAAGCCATCTGAAGAAATAAAAAGCATTAGTAAGTAAGTGCACAGCATTTTTGTAAAGGCTTTTTCTGCATCTATCGAGATGATCATGCATTTTTTTCTTCTGTTTATGTGGTATATTACATTTATTGTTTTCTATATTTTGAAACATCCTTGAAATCCTGAA